GCGTGCGCTGCATACCCACTTTTTGCGCCTCTGCCCTGCAGCAATAAGTAGCTGGCCAATGGAGGAGATAAACACCACGGATGTTAAGACACTCAGAAACTACTAACCATGCATGGAGGGTTCCACCCCAAATTCAGGACCCTGACTAAATACGAGCCACAAGGAAGGTAAATAAGGCAGGTGATTCCTTGAGTTTTGGTTTTCTAAATTGAGGGAACCAAACCTTTAGAGAATCCTGAAGACCTTTATCGGAAATAAAGGCCCCTCTTAGAGGAGGCAGAGCGACCACAAAGCTGATTTGTTGGATTCTGTGAAGACGTTTGCAGTCTAAAGAGGAAATCCCACCCAGTTCAAGAAGAATGGGTCTAAGTGGTTCCAGCACAAAATCTCCTCCTCAGGGTGAATTGTTTGCAATAAAATGCTGAACATAAATATTTTGTTGATAAATTACAGGCCTTAATATGTTTCATTTTTCTTTTGTGTGTTTGAATAAATAAAAAAATATTTCTTAAAAGGATCAATCAATTAATGAATTTTATTTATAAGGGACCCTTTCATACTAAAAGCAGCTCTAAGAGCTGTTCCAACAATGAGCCCTCAGGTTTCTCTGACAAACTTTTCCAAAAACAGGAGCCATAATACTGGATGGATAATAAATGACTAAAACTATATGATCACGTAAAAGGTTAAAATAAGATTCATAAGTATAAATGTATATGTATGGAAAACAACAAAGAAAATGACAAAAACCCTAATCAATTTCTATTTCCTTTTTCTCTTTCCCTCTGTCTGAGCTTCGCGCGGTGCATCTGACCTCTGACCTCAACTCCTCTAACCTGTCCTCCCATGGACCAAATGATGTTCCTCCTACAAAACCAACCGAGGAAAGTGATCTAGAAGATCTGGAGGCTCAAGAAGACAAAAAATACCTCCATCACCTCCAGGGGACAACTGTCAGTCTCCTGTTGGGCATTTGGACTGAAAACTGTGAGACTGAGCTTTAACAACCTCGGCTGGTCTGCTGTCCAGTATCAATGTAGTGGAAGAAAAGCTAAACATGCTTCGGAGCTGTGAGCGAAGACGACTCTGAACTGTTGACGCTTGTTTCATCTGTGGACAACATGGACATTTCCTGAGGGACGATCTGGACAACCCAAAGATCCAACGCCAGAACCAGTTGGACCCCCAGGAAGCCGGAGGAGAGAGACGGGGGAGGATTTGGCTGCAGCAACGCCGAGACCGAGTGGGGGAGAGGGGCGTAAAGGAAGGAACAACCTGAATCCACATCAACCACTGTGAAGGACCACCTGTCTGTAATGTCCATCTAGATCACGACTTTAAATCTGAAACAGCAACAGAATGAGCAGCAAAACTTTACTCTACCAAGTATCAAGAACTTCAACTTTTGACACCAAAGAGGACAATGTCCAGAGCAACAGCGAGTTTAGATGTTTCTGAAAGGCTCTCCACTCAAAGAACTATTGCTGGTCCACTGGCGAGTGACCGAAGCGGAGAGTGAAGATTTAGACTTTTCTGACAGGAGGGAACAAATCCTCCTGAGCAGACAGACGATCCGTGTTCCTGCTTCTACGCTTTACCTACTTTCCAGATGGAAAATCTGCACTTTCTTGTTGGGTTTTTTATGGACACTTATCTATACCTTCACTGCACTAATGTAAATTTTTTTTTTTTTGTGGGGTTTCCTAGAAAACACATGAAATTGGGTAGCTTAATTATGATCATTCTTAGTTGTTTGATTCCTAAGGATGTTTAAGAGTTTAGACATTCATTCTTCTAGACATAAGAGAAGTCAATTTAAAATTAACTTCAATGTGTGTAAAATTAAAAGTGATAAGTTTAAAACTTTAGACTTAGTTAATTATGCATCAGGAATGCACAAATTTATGTTCTGTTACCACATTAAAATAAGACTTTAAGATTTAGATTAAACAAATGAACTAAATGACTTAATATGTGATTTTAGGCTGTAACACCAAAATTAAACTGAGCTTAGATCAGTTTTCCTACCAAATAGAAGTGAAACAGTAAAGGGATGAATGTCTGAATGCCGGTGGGTTTTTCGTATCCTGCGTATATGTTTTTGTTTCATCATACAGAATAATGTTTCAATGATTGAATGAATATGTAATGTCTTAAAATGTATGGGATTATTTTTCACTTCTCACCATAAAAAATGTAGAAATGTCCTTTTATATAAGACTCATGTGTTGTCTCTGCCTGGCAGAGCTTTCCATCCAGAATTGCTTCATTATTGATTGTCCTCTGAGTTGTGCACAATTAATAAATAAACCTGATTGAGTGATTTTACCTGAACAGTGCTTGGTAATAGTTTTTTCCACAGCAATGGACAAAAACATTAAAGGTTCTCAAGTAAAAGGCGTGGCAGTTTTAGCTAATGTTGGACCCATGAGCCCATGCTAACATTAGCATATTAGCCTGCAAAGACTTTTATGTGTTATCTTTTGAAAGAAAAATCAACCTGTAACCATATAAGCGAGTAGTAATGGCATACATGACACATGAGAATATACTGAAGATGAATAACTCACCTTTAAAGAAGCTCTGCTTCTTCCAATGTGCAAGTCCACAAACGTTCTGGAAGCTTCCCGCACTTTCCTGCGCATCGCTGAGCTGAAGCATTCACTCCAGTAACAAAAGTAGTCACATTCAGTTTACTCAAAATAACATAGTCTTGTACTTTTCTCGGGCCAAACATGTACATTACTCACATTACTTGAGTTCAATAAACAATTTAGTGAGACTTAAGTAAAGCATACAAACCTAATTTAAGTAAGAATAGGTATTGCCTTTTAGAGTGTTCTAGGCACAGCCAAGATACTGTGCAGAACCCTCAAGCTCCCAGGCCACTGGTAGAGGACCCGAGCTCAGAGGATGAGAGAGAGAGAGAGAGACATAGAGACAGAGAGAGAGAAGACCACGCGCAGAAGGGTGAGAAGGGAAATGTACGTTGCTGTACAGCTAAGCTAGGTTTCTATGTTGAAGAACGTAAGCTCAGTACAACATAGCAGCCATAGTGTGACGCACGTCGGATTTATGAATGTCGTTTGTTTGTATTTTTAGAAAAAGGGATAGTAAAGAAAATTTACAACCACTGCATGTCTCGACATCACTATTGTTCAAGTGTGCAACAGAGGTCACAGTGAATATTTTATTTATTTTTCTCATCGTAGTCCTCATTGTGTGTGAGGGGAAAAGAAGCTTGTCCCACCTTACTTGTCTCTGTTTTTTTTATTTTATTATTGTTCTGATGTTAGGCAAAAGCAAATTTAGATTGCAGCTGTTTTCTTCGACCCATATCCTGACCAATGCAGATTGAGATACGCCTGGTTTACTTGAACTCAACGCTCTCTTCTCTTTCCCATTTGGTTGAGTGCCAAAGAGAAATAGGCCTCTGGGTCACACCATATTTTTACCCATGGGACACAGAAATGCAAATAAAAAGTTGACAGAAACTCTTGAGCATAAATGATAAACTAAAAAATGCTGCAGACACATTTATTTAATAGTTATTGCTTGGGATTCGAAAAACTAAAGATAGTATAGGTGACTATTAAAAAACACATTACACGTTTCTTATCTTAAAAAAAACAAACAGAAGAGACGAGGAAAACAAAGAACACAGCTCTGATTCAGTCTGAGGGGGTGTATTTATGTGCTTACCTACTTTTCACTGGACTGCTTGTGCAACAGTTTGTTTGTACACCAAGCCACCCACTTTCATTTCTACCTCAACCCCCCTCGGTTGTGCCAATATCAGTTAAGCTCCAGCAGTAGGTTGGCTCACGCAGGCATGAAAACATGAACTGGAGGTCATTTGAACAACCGTAGTTAAAGCGACTGGAGCGGTTTCACGTATAAAAATGGGCCACAGGGGCAGGCCGTGCAAACAGTTTCCCTCAGTATGTGTGGATATTGCACAAATTGTACCAAAATAAAAAAAGAACAGTCTTGTTTACCACGGATCGGCGGTTTGGTATATGCAGTCAGACCTCTTGTAATTAGAATCATAGAGCGACGGTAAACAGTCTGTTGAAAATCGACAAAGATATGAATAGGGATCTGTTATTTTTTTTGGCCATTTACACCACCTTATAAACAAAACTATGATACATAATCTCCGTCCAAACATACTTAAATGACAAACAGTATACAGACTTATACATGTCATTTAAAAATGGTAGGTGTACACCAAACATTTAAAAGTTATTATTCCCTAAAAAAAATTATATATATATATATATATATAAGATTTAGTATACCTGTCTAAAATAATGCTGTGGTCATAAGAATAAATTCCAAACAACAGTCAAAATTCTGCATGTCTGTACAGTATGGAAACAGAGCCAACAAGTTAACTTGCGCTGAAAATTTAAGCCGACTTTGTGGGTGGCCATGAATGCATGCCCCTACAGAGGTGAAGACAAGAAAAGAATAATGTCAGTGCTTTCAATGGTCCAGAAAACCCTGAGCAGCAACAATTACTGGATCTTTTAACACCACACTAGCAGACAAGGCCCTTCTAAAAGTTTCAACGTGTGGATGTCCAAGCTGCAGAAACAGCAAATTCCCATTAAAAATCCTCTAAGCCACAGTTTTCTCAACTCTTTTCCTACAGTTTTTAAAATCTTTTAACTGCAGCTAGAAGCTTTAGCTCAAAATGTCTGTTTTTTTTTCAAACTACAAACTTCCAATTGTCAACTTGCATTTTGTTTTTTTGTTTTTTTTGTTCATATCAAAGCTTTGACAAAGACGTTGTAGAACGTAGCATCCCTGACTCCTGAATGGAGATGCAAAGCATTTCCCCTTATGTCATACTAGAAAAATTCACACTTTAAACATTGTCAAATTAACCAGGAAGTGTGTGGTTAAAAAAAACAAAAAACGTGTTGGTCGTTTGATGGAATCTATAGAAGGGTCAAAAAACACGAAGTGGAAAAACAGGATGGCTCACATGAATATGATCATTTGTGTTAACCACATCTCCAATACTCTAAAAACATTGGTAACCTTACAATTTTACTGTTTCCTTTTGTTGCTTTTTAACTAGAATAGAGTAGAACTGTTCTTTACTGTTTAACAGATAAACGTGGCACCTTCAGGCATCTGGAAACTAAAACAAAGGAAGAAACCTGAGCAGTGCAGAACCAGCGTAGATTTCTTTAGATTTCTCCATGATGTCACACAAGGAATCCACGTGTCTGAAGTGTTGACATGAAATATACCCGTATCCAATTTACTCAAAGGTTATTTATTAACCAATCGAAAGCTTGGTTGCTCATAATCACAGTATATTAATATGACTTCTTCAAATTTCTGAATTTGAAGAAGTCATGAGAAACGTATCTGAAGACATTTGCTCATTATGCTGGAATGCTATTAAAAAAATGTTTGATAATTTTAATTGACTTGAAAAAGTCTTGTAGAATATATGATATTGTTTTCTGAAATCTTTAGTGTTTTCTTTAGACAGTTTTGGCAAAGTGACACTTTCATCTCGTAATTTTACAGAACATTTCATACTTTGGTCATAGTCTTGGTGATCATGATGATGTTTTTCAAATGTTGGATGGGTCTTAGTATTCTCTTTGTTCCTCAGTGCTTTTTTCATTGAAACATGGATGTCATCTTTGCCCGGGATCTTTCTCATAGTTGAGTCATGAAAACAGACTGTAGCTGACGCAAGGGACAACCGCCTCAGATGTTGTTTTACGACCTTGTGGGCAAGTGGTTAACGCTCACTTTGAGTAATTTCGGCAGGCCGACTACTTCTGAGAAGGTTCGACACTGTTCCATCTACATTAGTGGATAATGGCCTGACTGTGGTTCCAAAGCATCAGACATGGCTTTGTAAACCTTTACAGACAAAAAGTGGTCAGGGACTTTGCTCCTCATCTGTTTTTAAACGTCTTTATATTGCATCATCATGTCTTGCTTTTGGAGATTGTTGTGTTGTGTAATCCGGCCCCACGCCATTAGGTGGCGCTGTTGAGATGAACGGCAGAACGCGTCTTGTTTACGTGTCTTGTTTTCCACACAGTTACACCAGGTCTTGTTAGCATGACGGTGTCTGTGTGTGGGGCGGGACTGTAATCTTTACAGTTAGATTTTACAAGGAATGCAGTAGCTAAACAGTAAGGAGGAATTTATTTCATCATTTCCTTCAATTCACTGAGCGTTTTGTTGTGTAACTTAAGAAAGCGAGTAGGTGGCTTGAATACCTCTGACTAATCATATTTTAACTGAGACCAACCCATCAAACGGAGACAACACGTACCGTCCTGTCAGAAGCAGGGCTCGTCAGACCATCCCTAGCATGAACTCGGCTTGAATCACCGCACCGAATTTGATGCAAACATCGACAGGAATTGGAGAAGGAATATTCTAAGCAGCCTGGACAATGAGTGAAAAAGTCCAGTGGCACGAGTTTGTTCAGACGTGCGAAAAGCCGTAAAATAAACGAATGTTCTCCTGCATAATGCTACACGTAAAAAAAAACAACTAAAATATGCGGGATATTGTGTCTCTTATTATGAAAAAATATATTATGTAGGTATATACATATAGGCTTTTAATGCCTCCAAATAATTTTCCCTGTATAAAGTTGCCAACTTCAGCCCCAAGCATCCTTCAATACTGATAGACTCAGCGACAGTGCACAGTTTCTGCATAATGCACCATTAGCTATGTTTCAAACTGCATAATTGTTGTTCAGATGGAAAGCTTGCTTTGGCCAGCCTTGACATCTCAAGCTTTTTTTCTCCGCGCAGAAAAGCTCAGATGGGATTAGATCAGGATCAGATTCTCTTACTTGGACTGACATGAACATGGTGAGTTGATCTCTTGGCTAGAACACTAATCACCCTTCTCCAAATTTCTTCTCTGGCTGTTTCACCCCCGCAGGAAGCGATGAGGTCTGGATGTAGAAGACAGACATTAGCTCTTTACAAACTAATGAATGGCAATTGCACAAAACCAATTCCATATGAGGTGGCTGGCTGAAAGAAGGATTTATGATCCATTTAAGTTAGATGTAGGAATTGCTGCAGTAAATTAAAACATGGAGAGAAAATTACTCAAGCTCATAAAAGTTACGCTCCAAAACTATGCAGCGTTGCATCGCTAAAATGCACATAAGCAATTAAGCCAAAGTTCATCATTACTTCTTCAAGTTTTTGTCGTTTAAAGAGTTCATTTTAAGAAATGGCAGCCGAATGTAAAAATGTGGGAGGGAGAGGCTGTAGGTCAAGTTCTAGAATGGGGTGGGGGAAAAGAAATAAAAATCCAGCTGACGTCTTTAGTGGCAGATTATTATCTAAACAACCGACTCCCCATGCATCAACCACTACAACAAAAAGTCATCTGCCTTCTGCTTCACGCCACTAGTTCTGCTCTGTGGGGCTTTCACACTGGCAGCTCAGAGGAAACCAGAGGTTGACTCTGGTCGAGGGTTTAAAGGAGACAATATGGCTGCAAGGGGTTTGGATTGAAGCAGCAACTGTAACCGACGAATGGTGAAATTGTGAATGGGGAGGAAAAGATTGTTTTCAACATTTTTGTATGACTCAAAAGGGACATGTTTTAATTATTAGCTCCAAAAATCACCTTGGAATTTTACTATCCGTGACTCTCCAGTCGACTCTTCAAATCTGCAAAGACGTAACTGTGGAAAAAGGAGGTTCTACGCAGAAAAACACGGACTGAGGAGGGCTGATTGCAATGGCACGCCACACTTTTCAGATTTGTATTTGTCTGAATTTTTTTTTTGTATTATGTATATCCTATTTGTTACACTTAGCAACTGCACTGCTTTGTGTTCTTTTTGTGCATACGATCGCTGTGACACACACAAAACT